GCGCTTTCGGTCCTATTTATTCCACATGGTTCACTTCCCAAACCCTCTTCCGTCGACCAAGCGACGTTGAGCCGTACTTGTATTGCGGATTCGCTGTTACTCCACCGCAGTCGTATTGTGCTCTTCGTCCATTTCGACGGTGTTCTTTTCGAGTTGCTCTGTTGGCTCAGGAAGTTTTTCTATCGTGGTGGTGAATACGTGCGGATTCGGCCTTGTCATCTTCGTATTTCTCTGTCCGCCTCCATGCTGAACTACGGTTGCTTGCTGCTTTCATGGCTGCTGGAGCTTCGAACTCTTATCCCCCGGCGGTAATGAAGTCTTTTTCCCCTCATTTCCCTTCCCCTCCCCCCTGCCATTCCTCCTCATCATAATTAAATTTTCCCTTTCGGAACGCTTACCAAGGGGCATCTTCCCCTGATGAGCCAATCTTACAGACTTTGGCGAAAAAGTTTTTGGGAATTTTCTGTTAAACCCCTTCTTTTGGTTGTGTTAGCACTTTGGAGCTGCTAGGCCGAATCGGGATTCCATATTTTCTATTATTCTTCTTCTTCCCCAAAAGATGTTATTATGCCGTGTGTGGATACTACCTAACGTTCTCTGTTTACTATCACCTGTATTTGTCTTTGATGCATGTTGTTTTTGATGCACGTTCTCTCCTAGGAATTGTTGAAGTCCTCTCGATTGCAATAGGAGCACGCAAACTCTACGTCAAGAGGAGACTACTCTATGGATCATAATGATGTCTGGCTCGGATACGTGACTATCTTGTTAATTTTTTTAGCGACGCTCGCTTTCCTTTGCTTCCTCGGTACTATCCATTGTAGGAACCCCTGCTTAGATCTCCTGTGCTCTGGCAATTCGACTACTCCTTTTAAATATCATAGGTGTCCCGCCTAAGCTCTGTGTAGGATGAAGGGCATATCTGGATTTCCTCCGTTCCTCTTTGCTGTCTTCAACTTTTCATGCATCATCGCAATCGCTCTTATGTGCTTCAGTATGACACGAATAACGCCCTCTTCAGATCAATGCTTCTCCTCTGATAGGTCCTACGTCTGGCATGACTCTCCCTCTCTTTCTCTTTCTCCCTCCCATTTGCTAGCTCTGCAATTGGTCGCAATCTTCGCTATCATAGTAATGTTGCTCGCCTTCATCCTCTTCCTAGTCATCATAGGTTCGAGCTACATGGACCGGATTTGTATAAACTCTTTTTCAACATAAGTCCTCTGACTGGGAGAAGGTTTGGTGATATGTGCAAAGAAAAATATTTTTTTTGGGAACTCCATCACGCTCGTTTGCTACATTTCGACTTGGCATAAGTTCACCCAACCCTCTTCATCGTGCATTTTCCCTCCTACAAATAATTTAGCTTCTTTAGAATGGTTAATTTTTTCGTAGGATGCTTCTTTTGGTAGAAGTACTTTTTGTCGGACGAATGTTTTACACTCTTATGCTATTAGAAAGTTGTTTGGACTTCATCTCGTAAAATACAAGATCATCTTCGTCTTCTTTCTCCTCCTCCCCCTTCCCGTTTTTCCTCATCTTTTTCCTCCTTTCATCTTTTTCCTCCTTTCTACTTTTTCGTCGTTTTCGACTCGAAAGCTTGTATAACTGTCTAGATCTCAGCGCAACCTAGAGTGTTTAGCTTTTACGGCGATTCCTTTTCGCTCAAAGTCGATCTTCGTGGAAACTGGAATTCGGATATTTTGCTCGGACAAGAGGCAGTGTGCCTCATTCGTTTTTTCCGGATATTTTGCTCAGACAAGAGGCAGTGTGCCTCATTCGTTTTTTCGAGGATAGATTCCCATACTTTCTGCATTCATGAAAGTTGTTGTGGTTGTGGATCTACAAATCTATGCTCGAGTCCTTCAATGCTACGGGATCAATATATCAATGTTTCACCTTTTGTGGTGTTTTTTTCGTTTAAATTGTGAATGGATTGGAACAAGTGGGATCTGTGTGCTCATTCATTCTTCTGGAATTTCATACAGTATTTTCGAAGTTTTTCCAGACAGTAGGACACTTGGCCTTCGTTATGAAATCCTACCATTGTTTCGAAAATATATCCTGGTTATATCCTTAGCATTGACTATGTCTTTTCGTATTCCGATCCTTCACTGCACGATTTCTGATTCCCTTTCTTTGATCGCATCCTAAGATACGTCTCACATCTTTGCCTTCACGTATGTTCTCCCTCTCTCCCTCTTTTTTTTTTTCTCTCTCTCCTTTTTCTCTATCCTTTTTTTTTTTTTTTTTTTTTTTTTTTTTTTTTTTTTTTTTTTTTTTTTTTTTTTTTTTTTTTTTTTTTTCTCTCTCTCTTTCTCTTTCTCTCTGTCTCTCTTTCGAGGGTGTTAACAATGATGTCTGTCCAGAGTCGAATGGGACCGTGTTCACCAAGTCGGAGTGAGAATTGCTTGGACCATGAAATTGTTTCATTCGAATCTATTGTGTCCATGATATTAGTATCTTCATTATTGTGCTGTATATAAACGCGCTTGCTGCATTGAATAGTGCAGTGGACTCATCTCAACACACACACACACACCTCTCTCTCTCTCTCTCTCTCTCTCGTGCGCATGCGCGCAGCTCCCACGCACCTCCCCGCGCCACGCAGCTTTCCCCGGCGCGCACACATACACACACACACACACACACACACACACACACACACACACACACACACACACACACACACACACACACACACACACATACCCCCACACACAAACACACACACACACACCCCTCTCTCTCTCTCTCTCTCTCTCTCTCTCTCGCGCGCGCGCGCGCGCACCTCCCCGCACACCTCCCTGCGCAGCTCCCACGCACCTCCCCGCGCCGCTCAGCTTTCCCCGGCGCGCACACACACACACACACACACACACACACACACACACAAACATACATTTTATATATATATATATATATCGTCAAATAGAACTGCCCGGTAAACCGTAGGCAGAGAGGGAGAAGAGGACAACAAACGAGGGGCTGTGACAAACTGTTTCGTCGGAGTTTCACCGACT